TCCCACATTACTCTCAGGGCTTCTCCTCTCTACTGTCCTTTCGCATTCAGTCTCTTTCTTTCCCCCACCCCTCCTTCTAGTCTATTCTTCCACAAACATGCTCATTACTCCATCCTAACACAGAGCTCCTCACTGACTCCCATCACCCTTCTCTTGGTGGACGACTCAAAAGAGCATCTGGTCACCAGCCTTAAAGCCGAAAGGGCCCTTAGGAATCACGTTTCCTAACTCCAAGAAGGTGAGTCAGCTGTTCAGGGTCATCGAGATAAAGGAACAGGGCTAGCATTGGAAAGCAGGTCTGTCCCACCCCCTCTTCTCTTCACATCTCCACTGAAATGACTGTCCCTAGGGATTCACCTCCCACAATCAGTCAACCTTTGGAATGTGACTTCACTTGTTATCCTCATTGTCTCTCCATGGAGTTTGCCATGGGTTGCTGTCTCTTCTGAAATTCCTTCTTCCTCCGTTTCTGCCTTTCTGGTGCCCATCATTTTTTCTTATTGTTTGTCCTCCCCCACCTCCACCACTGCACACGCCTTCTAAGTGGTTCTCCCAGCCTCCAGTCTCTCTGTCTTGTCCCATGTTCTGCCTTGGTGGTCTCATCTACACTTCTTTATAGTTCTCCTTGATCTTGATTCTACTATGTTCTAGGCGGGCAGCTAGGTACCATAGTGGATACGGCACTAGTCACAAAGGCCTGCATTCAAATCTGGCCTCAGACATTTACTCGTTGTGTGACCCTGGGCAAATCATTGAACCTCTGCCTGCCTCAGTTTCCTCATCTGTAAAATGGGAATAATAACAGCATCCACATCCTAGGGTTGTTGTGAGGTTCAGATATCTATAAAGAACTCTGCAAACCTTAAAGCCCTCTATAAATGCTAGTGATGGTAGTGATGATGACGATGACAACGTTAGATGTTGGGGGATGCAAAGACAAAAACAGTTCATGTCCTCAAGTACCTTATGTTTGATCAGGTGAAACAATGTTCAGCTATTTAAGGGAAGAGAAGATAAATACAAAGTGACTTTTTGTTTGGGGCGGGGCTAGGTAATGCTTCCTATGGGAGGCAGTAGCTGAGCTCAGGATGCTAAGAGGCGGGGGTAAGGAGCTCTTAGTGATGGAGTTGGGATCTAGACCCCAGAAAGGAAAAACCCTGGACTTTCCCACATGGCCAAATCTCTGGCGTTAGCCTGAGGCTACAATCCCCATCAACTGGCCTTTCATTGTGGCTACACCCAATCTCCCAATTCTATTACCCTTAACCTAGCCCAGCCTAGCCCCCTCTATGGCTCCTCGCCATTTCCCACACTTAATCCCAGCTAGGCTCCAGTGTCCAGGTCCCAGGAGTCCTAGTCACCTCAGTTTACTGTCCACTCCCATTCAGATCCACTCCTAGATCCCTCCCACAGTCTTTCTGTACATAAGGTCCATCTTGTCTCTATTAAGATGCTTAGATTCTTATAATCTAGCCACTGCTGGGATTCTTATAATCTACCCACCACTGGGACTCTTATAATCTAGCCACGGCTCAGATTCTTAAAATCTAGCTAATAGTTTACTAATGTTTAGACTCCTTAAGAGTCTGCCCAGTATGACGGATGTTCTAATAAATCTTGCCTTTGACTGAAAGAAGGCTTGGGTCCAATTCTTTTAGGCAGGACCAGCGTGTTGTGATATTGGGGTCCCAGGACACTTGAACCTCTAAACCGCATCACTAGTACAGGGGACAAACTGTGAAAAGGTACAAGGATGGGTGATGGAATGCTGTGCAGCAGGTACAGCAAGGGGGTCAGTTGAGCTGGAATTTGAGATTGTATGAAGGGCAGCACCCTTTAGGATGCCTAGAAAAAGAGGGCTTGAAATACCAGAGAGGAGTTGTACTGGACCATAGAACTACCAAGAAACCACTGGAGCTTGTGCAGGGAATGATCTGGCCAGATTTATTCCTTGGGCCTCTCACTTCAACAGCTGTGTGTGTGGTGAACTGGACAGACTGACTGTAACATAGGCACTGAGATTACCTTCCTAGGGACAGGGTCCAAGAATCAGACTGAACTGAGAGACATGCATGCTCACCGGGTCAACAGCCACCTTCTCAAGCAAGGCCTTAAGAAGCCCAGCTCCCAAGTCTGACGAGGCATTTAACACACAACAAACAAACAGAAAACCTCAGCCTAGACAAAGCACCCCCACCTAATAAATAAGACCTGAATGAGTAGAACTGAGTTCACTCAGGTTTAATCCCTGTGTACTACCTAGCAGAACTCTTACTAAGATTTCTCTGGAGACTATTCACATACCACAAAGAGAACATTTCTCCCCTCAGAGCCATCACACACACACGGTCAGATGCTTTGCTTACCTAGTTTTCACTGCTCCAAGGAAGGGCTCTAAACTCCCTATTCTAGTAATAGGTTTTTTTTTTTTTAAGGTAGCATTATTCTTCTCATTTTATAGAATAAAGTTCAGAAAGACTTTAAAAAACAAATACACAAGAAGTTACTGATCCGGGATCACAGTGTCTGAGGAATTATTTGTAAAGATTTAGCTTTATTTTTTTTTCCAGTTAAGCATTTATCTCTCCCCCCTTCCCCATTAAAAGACAAACAACTCTTGTAACAAATATATGTAGTCAAGCAAAATCAAATTCCCACATTGGCCATATTCAAAAATATGTCTTATTCTGTACCAGAAGCCCATTACCTCACTGTCAGAGAGAGGGTTGGCATCACACTGTATCTTCAGGCCTTGGCCATTACAGTTTGTTATTGCACTGAACAGAGTTCTCAAGACTTTCAACATTGTTTTTCTCTTTAACGTTGTTATTACTGTGTAAGTTGTTCACTGGTTTTGCTCACTTCACTTTGTATCAGTTCATATATGTCTTCCCAGGCTTCATAATCTGGCCCCTTGTTACCTACCTATCTTTCTGGTCTCCTGGCATTTTCTCCTTCCTCATGTTTGCCTCCTGGGCACCTTGGCTTCTCTTCTAGTCTCGGCTAGAATCCCACCTTCTAGAAGAGGACTTCCCAGATCCCCCTTAACACTAGTGCTTCCCTGATTTCCTTTCTAGAGTTTAATTGTAGAGTTAGATGTTTGCATGCTGTCTCCTCCATTAGACTGTGTGTGTACTCCTACAGAGCAAGGACTGTTTTTCACCTTTTATGATATTACCAATTCTTACCCTGGTGCTTAAAACAGAAGGCACTTACTAAAGACTTCTTGACTTGACTTCTCTGAACCTTTCATACCATTATTTCCTTCAAAATCAGGCAATAATATTCCATTATTTTCATGTGTTATGATTTGCTTAGCTATTCCCCAATAGATGGGTAACTCCTTAGTTTCAAGGTTTTTGGTACCAGAACTATTTTTGTATATATGGGCTCTGTTCTGAGGTAAAATTCTAAAACAGGTCTCCCTGATTCCTCTAATTAATCAAATAAAGCTCCATCTCTTTTCCTGACACCTAATCAATTATCAATCAGTTGTCTTGCCTATAATTTTGTTTGTACCTCCCTTACTACATTTATTTTTTGCCCTGAATTATTATTATTTATGTATTTGTCTAACTCCAATCACTAGCCTGTAAGTACTTGAGGGAAAGGCTTCTCTCATTAATTTCTGCATCTTGCATATTATTTCCTATATTGCCCTGCACATAGTAGGTACTTAATTACATATTTGTTCAATTGATTGATGTTTCATATTCAATCAAAGAATGTATCTCTTAGCAATAATTACATATGGACATTTTAAACTAGAAACTTGTTATTCAACTTGATCAGCCACTAGACTGGCTCCAATTAATTATCAACCAGACCTGCCCCAAATGGCTACTAGCCAAATCAAATCCACCTCAAACTACTGCCTTCATCATCTCTCAATTAGCAAAATAGATGGTCTTTTTTTTTAGTCCCCATCCTTCTTATCCTCTATGCAGCTGGTGACATTCTTGGCACTGAACCCTCCCTGGATATTCTCTCCTTTCTGGGTTTTCCTAAAACAACTCTTGATTTTTCTGGACCTGTCTGGCTACTCCTCATTTTTCCTTGCTGGATCATTACTCATACCCTGTGTGCAACTGCCAGTGAACCCCAAGGCTCTGAGATCCAAGGCACCTGCCTTCTTCCTCTTTCAGAGATCGCATCATTTCCCATGGATTCAATTACAACAATTCAGAGGGCTCCCAGATCTCTATATCCCTCCCCAGTCTCTCTCCTGAGCTGTAGCCCTATATTACCAAGTGCCTGTTGGGCATTCACATGAGAAGTCCCTTATTCATCTCAAACCCAACATATTCCAAACGTAACTCACTATATTCTTCCTTTTTACCACAAGTGGTTCTTAATTTTTTTCTACTAGATTTGTAACTTTTTAAAATCAAGAGTTAGCATCTAAAGAAAGCTTAGAGTCTGTATTAAATACAAGACACAAATGTTTGGGGTCTGACTTGACCTGTCATATCTAGATTTTCCCCAAGATTTATCCCCCATTTTCATAAGATGGAGAATATTCTCAAAATAATATGAGTTATATCTACTTGAAATATTCAACCAATAACTTTTCTTCTTTAACTTGAAAAAAATGTTCCTTATAAGAGAAACAGAATTGTTTAAACTGAAAAGAAAAATTGGTTTTTGACTGATGTATGTCTGTGTATGAAGTGACAGAAAACTACTACTCTTAAATGACACACTGCCCTCTTAGTTACTAGTCAGGATACCGCATGGGAAACATGACTCCAGGACCTCCTCATGAAAAGCAGATAGCCTTGGCTGCCTCCAGGCTGGGCCAGACTCTAGAGGCTCAACGACAGGCTGACGGTGCAACCCCAGCCTCCTCAGCAGAGGGCTGGCCACAACAGCTCCAGAGGCGCCACCAAAGGCACTAGCATCTTGGGCAGTGGGTGTGCATCTCACATCAATGACCCCATCATTTGGGATGCCTTAAGAAGAGTCATTATTAACAAACAAAATGAAGAAAGCGGACTTACGTATTCCTTGACGTTTTTTGTTTTCACAGCTTTGTATGAATAATAAGCAGGATACAATATTCCAAAAATCAACCTGGTAAAAAGCAAAAGGTATGAAAAACTAGTTAAGTTTTTTCAATGACAAAACACTTTAATATATTAATAAATTAATAAATGTAATATAAAAGACATGAAAAAATTTCATTTTGACATGAAAAATATGTAATCGATTGCATCTGTCATTGCAAATCAGCTTGTGTCTTCTAAAAGTTGAGGCAAATTTGTTACTTATGACCTTGTTATTTTAAGTATCAGTCTTATTGAACTCCCTTGTGTCCTGTCACACAAACTAGACCTGTCAGGATTAACATCTCAATGTTTCAGGGACTGTTTTTAATTGTATTTTTGCCTGACAGCTAACTAGACAATGTGGGTTATGGTGTAGGGGTAAGACTCCAGGACAAAAGTATGCTTTTGTTTTCTCTTTATTTTGGAGGCAATGGGGGTTAAGTGACTTGCCCAGGGTCACACAACTAGCTAGGGTCTGAGGCTGGATTTGAACTCAGGTCCTCCTGACTCCAGGGCCAGTACTCTATCCACTGTGCCACCAAGCTGCTCTCCAACAAAACTATGTTTTAAAATCTGTAGTGGAAACCCATGATTCCCCTCTGTACCAAGGCCATCCCTTTCTAACCCCTCTACATGGCGTTCTGTACACTCTCTGGTCATCCTTTCTAAGTTCCTCCAAAATCTCGCTTTCTCAGAATAGTTTGGCTTTTTTTTTTTTTAAATCATGATGTATAAAACTTTGAATCCACTGATTATCAAACCATTATCTTCTTCTATACAGCATTTAACCAGGTTCTAACGGGCAGATGCATGGCACAATAGATAGAGCACTGGGCCTAGCATCAGGAAGAACTGAGTTCAAATCTGGTCCTAGACACTTACTAGCTGTGTAACTCTGGGCAAGTCACTTAATTTCTGTTTGCCTCAGTGTCCTCAATTAGAAAATGAGGCTAGGCTCAGATTCTTAAAATCTAGCCAATAGCTCACTAATGTTCAGACTCCTTAACAATCTGCCCAATATGGTAGATGTTCTAATAAACCTGGGTACACCTTCCGCAGCACAGAGGACAAGGACAGATGCCCCATCCAGAAGCGTATGCCCAATTCTGTCAGTTCTCTTAGTGCTAGGGAATTAGGAAAACTGCAGGTGCTTTTTGGTTCCCTGAGGCTTACTTGCTCCCTTCTCTCTATATCCCTGAATTCTCTTTCATGGAGGTCACAGGAAACAGTTAGAACAGGTAAAAACATCTTAGCAGATTCTGGAGGTTTTGTGATCATTAAGGAGTTTTGAAATACCTCCTTACAACCCTGGTCACTCCCTTCTCACACTCTTTTCCCTTGAGTCAAGAGGGTATCTGTTAATCCCTGTCATAGGAGAAGAGAGTTTAACACCACTCCCCCCCACTCTGAATTGGCCCTCTACAACATGGGCCCCACTGGCAATGGCCTTGGGCCCTGGAGCAACCTTTGCCTGGAAGCATCACTCAGGTCAGCACATCCTGCTCAAGGTAAAGAAGCTAGCCTCTGAACTTGGGTAAGTATGCTCTTTTAAAGTTGTAGTTTTAACTGTTAATGAGATGTTGATTCTCTATGTAAAACGCAGTTAACAAAATTGAAGTCACCTGATTGGTAATGGGTTTGTTTCAAGTTTCAAATTGGTGAACTTTTTGTATCAGTTAGGTCAAGCAACTTTTCATAACTCGGTTACCGCTAAAGTAATTTGGCTATTGTTGGTTATTGTTTTAATGTGTAAACTTGCCAAAAAGCTTGTTTGGGTTTTGACTTGTTGAGAATTTGCAAGTATATATAAATGATCTTTAACGATTGGCTTTTTACACCAGGACAAATTTAAATTTAAGATATAAATCCTGGAAAAGTTTTTCCCAAGCTGTGATTAGTGAATCTTGCTGTTTGAGGTAAAAGCTCATGGGATTTTATTTTGAGTTCTCTGATGGATCAAAATAATCCATCGATAATTAATAATCCACCATCTGAGAGAAATACCACAAGCTACTCAGAGAGAATGTGATACTGGTAGGAAGTCAGTACCAGGAAAAGCTGAGAGGACAGTTTTAGCCTCAGTCTAAGAATGGATCCTCCTGGCTCAGTTTCCCCATTATGTTCCTTTGAAAAGGAATGTTACCCACCTAGCTATTCCCAAGTCTGGCTATGAGATGGATTTGATACTGCATGGTTGGAAAACTGATGTTTTATCCTGTCATATCTGGGCCCTGCAGTCTTTTCTGTCAGATTTGTATCTTCCAGACTACAGGCCATCCACCTACAAAAACCAACAAACAGTGGGTACCAGCCAATGTCCCCCTATCGTTCCCTGGATGTAGCCTGTGTTGGGTTCCAGTCAACCTTCTCTTTGGGACACCTTCAAGGCAAGGACAGCTCTATGTCCCTTGCCAGCAGGAAGCAATTTCGGAAGCCAAGGCCTTCGCCCCTTACCCCAAAAGAATTTGGGATCCATTTGTTTGAGGAGGGAATTATGGGGTTGAGATCTGGACCCCAGAAAACAAAAACCTTGGACTTTCCCACATGGCCAAATCTCTGGCAGATTATAGCCCCTGAGGCTGTAATCCTAACTGCTGGCCTTTCATTATCACCTATGCCCAATCTCCCAATTCTGTTACCTAGCCCTCCTTTGTCTATTACTTCCAGATGGCCCCTGGCCACTTCCCACCTTAATCCTAGTTAGGCTCCATTCTCCCCTGGCCACGTGGTCCAGGTCCCAGGCATTCTACTACTTCCCAGTCCCTGCAGACTACTTGACCACTCCTAGATCCCTTCCACAGTCTTCCTGTATATAAGGTCCATCTTGTCTCCATTAAGGTGCTCAGATTCTTAAAATCTAGCCACTGCTCAGTTCTTATAATCTAGCCAATAGCTCACCAATGTTCAGACTCCTTAAGAGTCTACCCAATATGGTGGATATTTTAATAAAACTTGTCTCTGGCTGAAAAAAAAGAAAAGAAAATGAGGCTAATAATAGCAACTCCCTCCCAGGATTATTTAAGGATCAAATGAGATAATAATTTTAAAGTGCTCAGCACAAGGCCTAACACATAGTAGGCATTATATAAATGTTAGTTATTATAATTATTGACGTAAAACGATATATAGATCACTACAAGTATTTGTTAATGGAGGCTACTAGTAATATAGATGACTCAAAATACATTTTCATTTGGATTAAAATTTATTATTTTTTTTTAGCAGAACTGCCTTCCTCAATACATTTTGCTTAAAATATCAAAATCACCTTGTATCCCCTGAGCACCTACTAAAGGAAGAGTGGTCTAAAAGAACAGATAAAATAATAGGGGTGATCCGGAAACATCCTAGGAGGCACAGTGAAGATAGCCTTGGATTACAAATTTGTTGAAGGTTACACACAAAGTAAAAACCCAAATGACTGAGCTGGCAGTGTGATCGCATGTGCTGGGGGATAAAGTCCTACCTTAAGTTTGTGTCATAACCAAAGATTGAAGGCCCAGTAATGTCCACACCAGGGAAGTACAAGTTGTGGCTTGTGGTTTTTAAGCTGACCCTGTTTGTACTTCTTTTCTCAAGGCTATTGAAATACAGGAAGGTCTGGCTATTTCCATTTCTTGGGGCTCACGTGAATCCTTTAGAATGTACAGGAAGCTGTTAAGGAAGGTTTGTACGTTAAGGAGATGGCCCATCTCCTGCACATTTCCAAATGGCACATGTCGCCAAACTCAAACTCACAGCATTCACAATGAAATGCAGCCCTCTTTTGCAGAAACCAGTCGTCCCTCCTGATTTCTCCAGTTGGTTATTGTGGTCCAAAAGTTTTGACTCATTTTTCCCTTCCTCACCCCATCTAAGTCAATCAGCAAGTATAAACATCTACTCCGTAGCAGGCATTGTGCTGGATGCTGGGGGTAAAGAGAGAAAAACAAAACAGTCCCTGCCCTCAAGGAGAGTACATTCTATTGGTAGTAAACAACACGTATACAGATAGTACAAAACATATAAAAATAATTGGAATGGAGGGGAAGAGAACCAACAAAAAGAGGAGAGAAGCAAGCCCAGCCCTCTCCTTCGGTGGGAAGTGCATGGGAGCTGAACCCGGAAGGGAACGAGGGATTCCACGAGACAGAACATTCCAGAGAGCACAGCCTATATATGCCAAGGCCTGGAGACCAAAGAAGAGGAGAGATGTGCTCCTTTATCCTGGCTGGCATCGAGGAGATCTTCTCCCAAAGAGCAGTGCTACAGAGGGTGGTTAAAGGATGCTGAGCTACTAGTACTACAAAGGTTCAGCTTCCTAATGAGTTAAATGGGTTTTTGTGGCCTGGAATGAGAACCGAAACACTCTACAACATTCTTTCTATGGAAAAACGTACAGGAAAATTGGCTTAGAAACGCACTTTTGAGAATATTTGTTTTGTGCTATATAATGGAGCTTAATCTACATGGCGACCTTTGCAGTCCTATTAATTCTGCGGAAGTTTGCCCGTGCCGATGCAGGTCTGGTGCACCTGCTTCTCCTCACTCCTGTTAGCACCCCAACTCAGGACTCTTACTAGAGTCTCAAATAGGCCTCCTTCCTTCCAGCAGTGACCCTCCTTCCAATACTACACGCCACTTCTAAATCAATCTTCTAAAACGCCTCTTTGCCCAAAGTGGAATCCTCAGTTCCCATTAGATCCACTCCATCCTCCTTTGCCAAGACCCTCCACTATGTGGCTCCTATCTCTCTGTTGTTGTTTGTCCTTCCTTCTCAGAGAGGACCATGACATCAGGAAGGTGATGCCGTAACTAGCAAATGAACTGGATTTAAGTGAGGGAGGGCTGTGCAAAGTCACCAGCCTCACTTTCTCTGCTGGAGCCATCTGGGTTCAGTGGCCAGATACAGATCAGGACTACCGGACATGGCCCTGGATGCAGTCTTGTGTCTCTCTAACCTTGCTCCAAAAGAAATTCCCCTCTGCAAGCTAAATGGCTCAATTCACCTTTCCTTTAACACTCCTGGGATATCTTCTTCACTTG